TACCAACCTTGTGCCTTCACCCTTTTAAGAAATGCCAGGGACTGTCAAGAACATCCAGCTGAGCTACGTCCAGGGCAACAGCGCGATAAGGCTGCCTGTAGTGTAGTGAGGAAGGCCATTTCCACTCAAAGCTGTCCATCTGAAATCAATGTCAAAGATCTGACAGACAGTCAAAGTTCACTTTGTTCTTGTGTGTGTTCAATGGGTGTCAAGCTCTTTTTGTATAAATAAGTGTCAAATGTGTGTACAGTATTAAGTTGGATGACAAAGTTCCAATTAGTATTAGGAACTGTATAGGTAACCCAAACAAATGGAAGCATTGAGAGAGAGAGAGCGACGGACGTACAGTACACACACACTTTTTCAAACTCTCACACGTGAGTCGGGGAAGGTTGAGAACAGCCTTGAACTCTGCACGTTACAGAGAGTTTACAGCCCCTTTCTCCTCCCCTTCACTCCCCATTCAGTACGTCTGAATGCCTCTATTATCACAGCTCAGCTTTCAGAGACTCTGAATGAGTGTGTGTGTGTGTGTGTGTGTGTGTGTGTGTGTGTGTGTGTGTGTGTGTGTGTGTGTGTGAGAGAGAGAGCGATAGAGAAACGAGAAATGTACAGTATATCTTGTACGTTTTAAAGGTCACCTATTATGCAAAATCCACTTTTTCATGTCTTTATACATCAACATGTATCTGTGTAAAGAGATTCTGAAAGTTTCAGGAAAAAAGATTCTCTCTTTTTGTCCTGATCCATTTATATAAAAACTTGTCTGAAAATGAGCTGATCAGATTTTGGCCACTTTATGATGTCATAACGATTTTTCATTAGCCAATAACCAACCAAGGTAACCCCCCCCCCCCCACCTTATCACCTGAATCTCCTCCTAGAGCACCATTGTGTTCTTTTTAACCAAATACCTCTCAGAGGGGCGTGGGGAGTGGCTCCTTATTTTCATCTAAAGTAACAGACAGAGAATCAGGTCTTTTGAAACAGGGCTGAAACAGAGGGGATTCAGCCCTCTGTTTCAGCCCTACAATGATCTGTCTGGTGTTTCAACACTTCAGAGACATGTTTTGTATATATCTGAGACCTACAGTATAATATATTGATGAAAAACAGTATAATAGGGGACCTTTAATCTAAATGTATTCCACAATGGGTAAATCTAATTCAACTGAGAAATAAATAAATAAAAAGACGGACATGAGGGAAAGGAAAAATGAGACACACAGGTAGAGAGAAAGAAGCAAAAAAGAATGAAAAGAGAGAAAAACATTTCCACTGTTGTTTTTATCGTCCTTTTAATCTCACTACATTAAGACAATTTGAACCACAAATTGTTAAAGGTGCAATATGTAAAATAAGGCCAGCATTGTAGTTCAAATCTTTCAAAAAATAATCTAATAGGATCAACAGAATGTGAAGAATTAACCGTTTTGAGATGCCAAAAGCATGTATTTGTTGAGTAGCAAAGTTATGTAATGAAATGAACATGCTTACTGACTAGCCCCAGACCGTCCCTTCTTGTGATACCACTTGTTCCTCGAGAGGCGATAATGAGTCCCTTTAGCGTCAGTCTGCACTCAGGAGAATAACTAATAAAAAGAGCTGCCTAGAGCACAATGTTGTTTGAGATACAGCCAGGGATTAGTGGCACAGTAAACTCAAAGATGACTGATGCTCTTAGCAAGCGACCTTTATCACCATCCCAACCACCTGCTAGCAGAAATACACTGGAGGAAAAGTAAAATAATTGATATTTAAAAAAGCAAGACAGGAGTAAAGATTGGCTTTATTTCCCACCGTTAGACATTTCTTGGCGAGTAAAGATGTTTGAGGCTAAACTCGCAAAAAGGTGTCAACCCTGCAATTTGTAAATCATGTACTTGAAATGCTACCCCCAATTTATTAGAAACATTGCTCCTTTAAAAAAAGATTTAAAGGCTTAATTCAGGATTAAACAAAAGTACAATTCTCAACTCAAAACATATTAACAGAAAATTCGAGAGAGAACATAGCCAAGCAGTTTCATTTATTCACAGTAAACAAAGCATATATAGCTATCTAAATCACTCTAAATTGGAAATGGTGTACTGATGTTTAATATGTAGCAATACAAAAATACTACATTTGAGAAAAGTAACATTTGTGTCCAATTAATTGAAAAATAAAACTGTCCAGGCAGTGCTTCAGTAGTGTATCTGTTTCAGAAGCAGCATGAGGTTTCTGATGCGTTCGGCACGGCAGCGAGGCGACTGGTGGAGCGGCAGCTCAAAGAAAGAGAAGGTGAAGCTCCGAGAGAAACTGAGGTTGGTGACGGGACGCAGGGGCGCGAGACGGGGGGGGCGAGGCAAACGCCGCTGGGGCAACAACCTCCGCCTCGCACGCAACCCTCTGACCCCTCCACCTGCAGGGGGAGAGGAACAGACATGTTGAAATCAAATGAGTCACAAAATGTTGAAAAAGATCAGGGCGCTTATTCAACAGTGGCTGACCCATTCAGGTGTTTTCAGCACCCGGTGGTCTCGGGACTCAGTACTTAAGAGTGTGTGTCATGAACAACTTCTTCACTCTCCTATGTATAACTTACTTTAAAGGAATTTGAGTGACTTCACATAGCAGACCCCTTATACTGCAGAGTTTGTCTTATGTTAGCGGGAAAGCACAGGTGTAAATAATAGCCTTAAAGGTCCCCTATTATACTATTTTCAGGCGTATATTATAGGTGTCAGATATATAAAAAACATGTCTAAGTGTTTTGCTCAAAATACCAAACAGATCGTCCATTCTAGCCATGCCTCATATCCCTTTATTTCAGCCCTGTTAGAGAAGTGCTGACCCTAGGTCCGAAGCTTTAAAAAAAAAAGGAGGGGGAGCTTATGCCTGCTCATGCGGGAGAATTCTATCGGCAGATGCAGCTCAATGCTGCCGTGATTAAACGCCATATCATGTTCAAAACCACATCAAGGACTATTTCTGAAACAGTATGGAGCTCAAAGGCTTTCTCTCTGGCAGGGTCTGCATTGCCGATATGACGTCATATCGGACGCAAATCTGGATCAGCTCCGTTGTAGCCCCGTTTTTAGAGATTTGGGTACGGAGGAAAAGAGAGAGGGTTTTATTTTCTGACACTTTGTGAGTTCCCTTACACACCGGGGACACATATTTATGTATACAAGACATCAAAAAGTGCATTTTGCATGATAGGAGACATTTAAGTGAATTGCTGTCCTTAAACTGAGCTTGTGGTGACGACATAGGAAGTTGTGTAACAGTATGCCCTGTTTTGATTTAGAAAGTAGCTTTAACACCAACAACATCCACAACATTAATCTGGCTGCAATTTAGAAATTATTTATCTAATATATCATATTCAATCACTTGCATATAGACTCTTATTGCACTATTCCACTTTTTTACTATTTTTCTTTTTGTATTTACTTGCATGTATTTTTGTCTGTTTTATTGTGTTGCACTGTTGGAGGAGCCTGTGACCTAAGATTTTCATCGTCATAACTACACTGTATGTACGACCAATAAAAGCCTTGAACCTTGAACTTGAGGCAACTACAACATGGATGCTTTGTCGAATAGACTAACAATTTAGCAAGCTAGCCAACAGGTAATGTAATGCAGGAAATAAAAAGGCATAATAACAGAGAAATAGTTGAGGCCGTTTAAAATTAACAAATAAAAACGTTTGATGACTAAAATTACAATAACGATGACTTACCATCTACAAAAAATGAAGATCCATGGTCTCTGACATTTATGAAAACATCAGCAAACACATCACATCTTGTGTATTTCTGAGCTTTAAGAAATGTTCCATTTAGGTGTTTGTGAAGACCAGAAGACGGCAATGTTAACTCTAGGTGTGAACACAGTGAAGAATACCTTTTAAGGGCAGCAATAGTTACAGGGTCAGTGAGATGATTTATTGGGATAGCAGATGAAAAAGGAGACCTCGTTAATGTTGTTTGTTACACCTGTGATTATTCTGCTATGACTGGTCTAATCAGTCTGACTGAGAACACCTGTGTGATTACGGCATATATCATACATTTGGCACAGCACACATCTCAACTTGTCACAGTAGGAAAAGCACAGGTGTTACTAATAAAACTAATAATGTCTCTGTTCATTTTTGTTTTCTGTTCAAGTTTCGCAGTTAGCCATTAATGTGGTACAATGAGCCAACATGCTCGACATCAGGACCTAAAGCAGCTTGATGGAATTTAGCCACCATTTATTTCATTGTGTACACCTGTGTCTTTCCTACCCTTATACTGTATGTCCAAAATGTCCTCAGTGATTGTACATTTCCCCGCTGTGGGACAAATAAATAAGTTGGATTTTGAAATGTAGCTAAATGTGCTAATGCTTATGTTATTATAGGTTCTAGTAGTCAGGGAAAGTCCACATGGTGTTGTCATAGTGGGCTTGTCTTCTGACATTTTAGCATTATTAATGAAAGCTAACATTTATAACACTACTGTATCTAGCTATGTTACCAACTTGTATATAGATATGTATCGTACTGCACTATTCCACATACTCACTTTATTTTAGAACTATCTTTCTTTTTGTATTACTTTTACTATCTGTATTATTATTATGTTGCATTGGTGGAGAAGCCTGTGACATAAGATTTTTAACGACATAATTACTCTGTAGCTATGTTAGTTTGACAATAAAGAACCTTGAACCTTGAACGCAGTTAGCTATAGCTAAGAGTTAGCTAGTTTATGATTGTTGCTAGGTTGTGGTTAGGCTTAACTCATATCCAAATCGGTTTAAATTTCATAGCAAATTGACTGTTCTTCAAGGGGTGTCTTTCTTACCTTCCCATACTGCATTTTTTTACATTATTTATACTTATAATTCTCTAATATTTTAGCTTTGGGGGTTAGTCCTGATGACTGGCCCTTGTTCTTCAGACCTACCTGTGGCACTGTCCTGAGGGACTGCACCAGGCGGAGATGGAGAGTTGAAACTTGAACTTGAAACGTCCTCGTCTTCGTTATGTCTGTCCCGGTAAGGAGTGGAGGGCGTGGCCGGGGGAGCAGGAGGGGGAGGGGGTGGAAGGGCAGGGGGCCGTGGAGGGGGAGGCAGGGGGATTGAGGTGAAGGACGATTCGTAGAGAGCCAGGCCTCCCCAAGGCGTCATGGTGGTGTCAGAGACGAGGATGGAGGAAGGCCCCGGATGAGGGTGAGAGGAAGAGGAGGATGTCTGCTGCTGGCTGCGTTTTCTGTGATTAGCCTGATGGGGGCGCGGGAGAGCCGGGGAGGAGAGAGGGGGCTTCGCTGCTGTAAGGAAGGGGAGATTAGATGAAGAAGCTACAAAAGATACTAGTGTAGTTGGTAAATGAAATACATTCACCTAGCTATAAGCCAATTACTGTGTCAATATATTTGGCCGCTTTACTGTTATTCTGTCACAAACCCACTATCGTTTAAGCTGTTAAGACAAAAGTAAAATATGAAACAATAGCTTTTGTTTCAGTCACATGATCAGATTCCCCATTCAAAGGAATAACATACTGGCCTGGAGCTGTTTCTGAAAAGTGCTTTACAACTGGTATAATCAATACTACTCATTTTCATTTGCTTAAGGAACGCATTCATGTAACAGTTAAGCCTATTTGGACTATGAACTTATAAATTAAAATGTTGTCCTGTAGTTACTTGCAATGGAGCATCAGACACTTTGCACTTGATGCTCTTTTAACAATAACACCTAATTTGCAAAAACCTTCAGGTAGGAAATGATCATAATACAATAATTCAAGCATATGCTCCTGCAGCAAAATGTAATGTAAAATGGAGAGGTGAGTGGGTCATGACTGGCTCACCTGTTGTTCTACTCCCGGATGAACCAATGAGAGGGAGCCGTTCACGTGACATCACCGATCCGGAAACCTGAGCAGAAATGTTTTTTTATTCTGAACTCAACCTTTTACTTAATCCTTATTCTAACCACTTGAACTATATTGCTAAATGGCCATCTTGTATTGTTGAACTGTTACATGAGACATTTCATTTGTGTTTGATTAAAGCACCATATCAAGCATTTTATCATAAGACCATGATACTAAATGCAACATTTAGCTTATCTGTGAGTGACAGTTTGAAAATGGACTTGAAGAAAGGTCAGAAGAGAGAGTGGGTGTTTACCTCTTCGATGGGTGTCACTCCTGCGGACCCTTACTCCTCCTGTAGTTCTCCTGGGTCAACATAAGCATACAGGGACGAATTCCACCGATAGTTTTTCAAGCTTGCTTCCAAAAGTCTCTCTCCACATATGTTTGAAGACTGCAGATGGTGGTTTGAATCATAAAAGGTATTCCTGTTAAAACATCAAATGTATCCCAGACACACGTCCTGTTCTTTGAGCGTCTTCCTCTCTGTCTCATCTTTCACTTCCTCACTCATCAATCAGTCCTCTTTCATTTTTCTCAGCCTCCTCTCTCCTCTCTTTCTCTGCTGTGAGCCAACAGACAAACGCTCAGTGCAGCAGGTGCCTTCTCCATTTCTGTCTCCCCCTTTTTACTCCCTCCTCACCTCTACCTTATCAACACTCTCCCTCCTCTATTTCTCTCACCCCTTCTTCCCCAATTAAGTGACAGTGGTGGTTCTAAAGGTCCTTTTTCTTCTTTTCTCCTTTGTACTTAACTTCTCCCTAACTGCAAAAATAAATGCTGGCAGGGGCTTTCATCCACCTTTTCATCTTCTTTCCATATTTCTCCCCCCCCCCTTATTTTTCAGGGTGACATTAGCTTCCATTCTCCCGCTCTCTTTCCTCTTTCATTCGCTCCGTGGTGAGTGGCAGGCGGTGAGATCGGTGCCCGACAAAAGGCAACGTGAGACGATGTTAAAATATTAAAATATTCATGGATACCTGCAGTCGGGGCCCTTCATGGGCTCTGACCCCCATCCAGACCCTCCACAAACTGACACGCACACTTTGATGTCTACATTTAAATTCCAGGCGATAGTGACTCAACACACACTGCTATCCACTTTGTATGACATTTAACATGCTGCTAGTCATCTCACACTTCGTCTGACACAGCTACAGTACATTTGCATCCGAGACAGACACACACCAAATATGCAAATAATTAGCACACAGTCCCATATCAACCTGCCACTTAAACAGCATTAGCATTTCATGTAACAAGACATTCAGTTTCAAAGGTGCTAAAATAGCCATTTATAACACATGTACGCAAACACATAAAAAAAGACCATTACCTTCGACCAATCAGACTCTTCTCGATCATACTCTTGACTAAAATATGTAGAAATAGATCCCTCAATGATCCCAAAGCAAAGACTATTTCCTACTTTTTTGCTGGATACACTAACCTGTGCATGTACAATCGTACACAGACAGCATGCTTTTTAATGCTTGTAATAGTGAACAGTTATGTTCTTGGCCAGATTTTCCTTCCTGTTGAAGGAGAGTTTTAACTTGCTGCTTGCTTTTAGGGTAGCTATATCTCGAGTCTGAGGTAGTAGTGGGCATGCAACTGGAGAAAAGACACCTGGATCATACTACACGAGTTGTGAGAGAGTTCTTAAATGGAAGTTGTTGTGGACTGGTCTCCATTTTTTGATTCTTTGGTCAATGGATAGGCGTTTTAGTCAAGAAATCAAAGTTAAACAGAATGAGTATGTAATATACTGCTATACGGCATATTTGATGATCCATTTGTTGGTGAAATATTTCTTTAAGTCTGCGATGAAAGGATGATTTGGTTTTCAGTGCCTAGCTCAAGGGCACCTCAGGAGTGGGGGTTGGAAGGGGAAGACATTTTAACTTCATATAATCACTTTTTATTTTTTTTGGACGCCAACCTCTCCGGTTGATATTCTGGGCTCAATAAAAACATCCTCCCCTCTGTCATGAACCTTGGAGTGACCTTCAGTAGCACTTTTAAATTTGATAAGCAGGTCAGCTCCGTAGTCAAAACCTGCTTTTTTAAAATAAGACTATTGGCCAAGACCAAGTCGTTTTTATCTTTTAAAGACCTAGAAAGGGTTATACGCCTTTGTTACCTCAAGGCTGGATTACTGCAACGCTCTGTATGTGAGTATGGACCAGGCGTCAATTAGACGCCTGCAGCTAGTGCAGAACGCAGCTGCACGTCTTCTTACTGGCCACAAAAAGCGTGACCACATCACCCTCATTCTGGCTTCATTGCACTGGCTTCCAATTCGGCTCAGAATTGATTTTAAAATCCTTTTATTTGTTTTCAAAGCACTAAATGGGCTGGCTCCGGCTTATATAGCAGAACTCCTCCAGCGCTACACCCCAACCAGAGCCTTAAGGTCTGCTGACCAGCTGCTGCTGGTAGTGCCCAAGACCAGGCTCAAAACCCGAGGGCACTGAGCCTCCGCAGCAGCTGGCCCTAGGCTCTGGAACACTCTGCCCCTCCATGTGAGGTCGGCCCAGACACTAGGGGTTTTTAAATCTTCACTGAAGACTCACTTCTTCTCCCTGGCCTTCTAGTCAGAGCGGAGCACGACTCCTGACTTTTCCCTGTGTTTTTGTTTTTATATTTGCTGTTGTAAATTATTGTCTTTTGTTGTTATTGTAGTAAAGTGTTTTTATTACATGTACAGCACTTTGGCTCGACCAAACATCGTTTTTAAATGTGCTATATAAATAAAACCTGATTTGATTTGATTAATCTTCCAAACACTTTTTTGAGACATTCAGACTTGAGTTTTTCCTTGTTCTTACAGCAAATTGAGTCGCGAGGCTTCGGGTGCACAGCTTTATTTCCTGGCCGGTGGAGATGTAGCGAGCTGTATTATAAATAACTCCACTTGTTTCATCCATCTTTGTGGAGTGTAGCGCTTCTCCCTGAAGGAGACCACAGATGGCCCAGACTCATCAGAGACGGCTTTAATGTTCTCCATGAAGATTAGGATGTTTCCTTCATGATTTGTTCAAAGCAGAGACGAAGCCAGATGCCAGACCTGCATTTTCAGGAAATGCAGAAATGAATGATGAAGAAGTAAAGTTTCTGAGAACTTAAACTTAAACTAGTCTAAAACTCCAGAGGAAAAAAGGGTTTGAAATCTCTCCACACTGGTTTGTTGGTGACATTCTGGGTAAAAGTTGTTCTATTTATTAATGTATAAGGAATTAATGTTTGACATGATTGTAATGTACCCCAAAAATAACAAGAAAAGGGAAATTATAAATAGACTTTATTAAAAATGTAATTTACATAGTAAATTGAATCTAATATTAAAAGTAATTGTTTTGACCGCCCTTATCTTTTGATTGCACTTATGTGGACTTTCCTTGTAAAGTCACTTTAACTCTGTGACTCTCCTTTTGGCTTTTTGCGCTCTCTGTATTTGGGACTCGTAGCAGCTGGAAGCCCTGTCCGCAGAGCAGCACCCATCCCGTCTTCTCCCTCATGTTCTCACTCCTGAAACCTCTCTCAGTGTTTCCCTGACTAACCCTGTCAGTCTCTGCTTGATCACTACATTCACTGGCTGTCTCACCTGCCTTCTCCTCACTGGTTTGACACACCAGGTGACCCGTCTCACTCTCTGCTTCAACAGCTGTTTCCTCATTACTGAACTGTGCCGCTGTCTTTTTGAATCCTGTCTGACTCCCTCTCCAAACGGAAATCTCCTGCTCAGACTCAAAGCTTATTTTCATCTCTTTATCCCCCTCCTCCTCTCTCAGCTGCCCTTCCCACACTGCCAGTCCTGCAGCATCTGCAACGTGGGAGCACAGCGCCCCAATGTGGCTGATCCCGGTACTGCAGACCCTCCACAGGCAAACCCTCTGATCTGCAGAGGTGGAGACCAGGAGGCCGGGGCTCAGGAGCTTCAGGGCGGTCAGGGGGGCCGCGTGAGCCAGCGGGGAGTGGGACTGGGAGTGGAGTTCAAGATGAAGCTGGGTTGGGGGGCTCAGGGCCTCTGAAATCTGAGAGGACCCTCTGCTGCCCCCAAACTTTCTGTCTTCTGGGTAGTGCACCCTTATTGTGGACACTGTCAGCTGCCCATCATCCCCTCCGCTAGCAACCGTTACCAGGCAACCGCCCTCGTTTAGTCCCGGTTTCTCTGTCCAAACAGCCAATGAGTTGATGCCGCTCTGGTGGGCGTGGATGTGGAGGCAGGGGATTGGCTGAGTCCCGG